CAGGAGGAAATGTGAAGTGAGAAAGGAAGAAAACCAGAAGAGTATGGTGTTCTAAAAGCCAATCAAACAAAACATCAGTGTTGGAAATTATGAGAGCTTATTTTCCGAAGTTTGTTGTATTGATAACTTAAAACTTGATATTCTAAAGAGATCTTTTAGCAAACAGAACAAAGAATGTGTTTTCCATTAAACTGATTGACTGTTACAGCATAGGGATGGGAAATGTGAAAAAGATATCAAGAATTTAGGTAGAACATGATTTTAAACAAGTGTTCATTTATGATACAAGTACACAATATAAGACATAATATTTTGTCTTTCTATCAACTGCAGCTACAGGATGCCATAAGTGAAGATGAATGATTATAGTTTAATATCAAATTCAGGGGAAATGGGGAAAATATTTGAGTTTTCATAATTTTAAAATATTTTAAAAACCTTTATAGTCTTGAGACTTGTCAAAAGTGAAGCAGAATTTTACAAATGATCATAACAATTTTAGAATCAGAATAAAGTTTACATATAAAATGACTTACTTGAATTCACATGATTCATTTTCGTGGGTAAAGACTAAGACTTGGGTTTTCTGATTACTGAGTATTATTTCTTACTTTAGCATACTGTCTTGAATATCTTCAATCATCATAAGATGACTAAAAAGAGGCTTATCAGTGATATCTTACATTTTAAAATAAAATTCTAAATAATTAGAGCTAGGAGAAATAAGGCTCATGAGGATTAAATTGTAAGAAGATCTTATAAGAGGGGGAAAAAGTAAGATGCATTTTGACATGTAAAGATAGGAGATTTTAGGAAAAAGCAATCAAGATTTTATTTATACATGTTTATATTAGTTTAATAAAACAAATATTGATATCTTGTGAAAAAGATATCACAATACAAACATCACAGGACTAGCATATAATTTTGAATATGAAGACTGATAAAGATTAACATCCATTACACTAAAGACCAGATAAGATAAGATCTTCATTCTATTACAGCATAACAGGAATAAGGATACCTCCTGATACTTTGGTATGTACCATTTTGGGATAATGAACTTTACTACAAAGTGAACATTTATGTCAAGAAGTAGTTTAGTATATAATTGTAGTCATATATAAATACGACTCATTAAATTTAGGTATGCCATGAAAACTATGCTAGGTTACTTTGAAAAGTTAGAAATGACCAGGTTAACTAACCTTTCTTTTCTTTTTTCTTTTTTAATTTTGGTTCACTTTTTAAACTTTTATTTTAGGTTCAGTGGTACATGTGCAGGTTGTTATATAGGTAAACTCATGTCACAAGGGTTTGTTTCACAGACTATTTTGCCACCCAGGTACTAAGCCTAGTACTCAAGAGTTATTTTTTCTGCTCCTCTCCCTTATCCTACCCTCCACGCTCAAATGTCTGTGGCTCCCTTGTTTGTGTTCATGAGTTCTCATCATTTAGCTCCCACCTAAAAGTAAGAAAATATGGTATTTGGTTTTTCCTCTTGAATTAGTTTGCTAAGGATGATGGCCCCCAGCTTCATCCATGTTCCCACAAAAGACATGATCTCATTCTTTTTGATGGCTGCATAATACATAGTATTCTGTGTATATGTACAGTATTTTCTTTATTCAGTCTGTCATTGATGGGCATTTAGGTTGATTCCATGTCTTTGCTATTGTGAATGGTGCTGCAATGAATACTTATATGCATGTGTCTTTATAATAGAATGATTTATATTCCTTTAGGTACATAACCAGTAATGTGATTGTGGGGTCTAATGGTAATTAACTTTTCTTTTTAATGCCAGAATAACTGTTACATGAAATATTTCACTATGCCACTGTCAAAGACAAAATCTTGTGACTAACGGGTCCATTGTCTAACCATCTAAAGCTGCACATTCACTCATTAGTCACTTGTGGCTTTTGAATCCTTAAAATGTAGGCTAGTTTGACCCAGGGGCTGAAATTTTTATTTTATTTAATTTACATTTATTTTTTCAAAGAAACATGTGGCTAATGGCTACAGTGTTAGACAGCACTGAGAACACACCCATTATCACAGAAATGTCTATGGAACAGAGCTGACCTACAACATTTAAAAAACTTTGTGCATTCTTCTTTGTTAACAAAATTGAATCTTATTAACAGGTAAAATTAGCAAGATGGTAGATATAAGCTCAAGCTCCAAAAAACTATTTAATTTGATTGTACTTAAATAACAATGAGAAATAAGTATGGAAAAAGTAAATAGAAACTGAACCCAAGATATTCTTCAGAATTTTCCAGAATAGGAAACATATTGACTGTTAAACAGATGAAAAGATTTTCAATCAACTGATAACTAGAGAAATGCAAACTGAAACTATTATAGACTGAATTGTGTCCCCAGAAATTCATGATGTTAAAGTCTCATTCCTCAGTGTGACTGCATTTGGAGATAAGCCCTTTAACGAAGTAATTTAGGTTAAACAAAGTCTTAAGCATAAAACCCTAATCCAATATAACTGGATTCCTTAGAAGAAGAATAAGAGACTTCGGGGATGCGTGCACACAGGGAAAAAGCCATGCGATGACATAGCAGGAAGGCAGTAGTCTCCAAGTAAAGGAGAGCGGCCTCAGGAGAAACTAAACCTGACTACATCTTTCTGGACTTCTAACTTCCAGAACTGTGTAAAAATAAAGTTCTGTTATTGAAGCGGTAGACTCTGTAGTAGTATTTTGTTATGGCAGCCCTAGCAAACTAGCACAAAGGCCACTTGAGGTTTTATACTAACTAGATTGGCTGATCTAATTGGCGAGGCTGTAGAGTCATAGGACTGCAACTTGATTCATTAACTTTGAAAAACATTTTGGCATTATCTTTTAAAGCTGAATATTCAAATTTCCAATGATCCAGCAGTTCTAATCTTAGTTACACATGTTAAGATACATCTTACATGTGTGTAACAGGAGATATGAAAATACATGCTAATAAAATATTGTTAATAACAGATCCATAGATCCAAAACAATTCAGATAGCATCAACAAGACAATATATACATTTTTTATATCTATACATCATAGTATCATACAGTAGAAACAATGAATAAACACTAACTAAAACAAAATAGATGTACCTTAGAAACATAATCATGTTGAGTGAGAAAAAGCAAACATAGTTACATAAAGTATGATGCCAATTGTATAAAACACAAAAAAACATACATAATGAAAAATACAGAAAAATGAAGTGATTGCTAATATAAAACTAAGAGCAGAGTTACACTTTTCAATGCCAGAAAAAAAGAACCAGAGAAAAGCTCAAAGGAAGATTCAGCAATGTTGATTCTAGTTCTTAGATTTGGTGGTGTGTTTGACATATGGGAGAGTATGTGTGAGTGTTTTGGTTTTCTGGTAACTGGATTATGCTAAATTTTACATTACCTTCTTCAATGGAATGAATTTTGTTCTCTCTTGGAAATGAAGGAGATAGCAACAACAGAATGCAGAGACATAGCTGCTGCAGCTGTACTGCCCATGGAAAAGTATAAATAGCAATATAGCAGCTAGTGATTCTGAAATTGCCCTTAACTGTGTCATTATAAAAATGCTCTAACAAATATGTTTTATAGTATGGTAACTATAGCAAATAACAATATATTGTATATTTCAAGATAGCCAGAAGATTTTAAATGTTATCCCCACAAAGAAATAATAAATGCTTAAAATGATGGATATGCCAATTACCCTGATTTGATCATTATACAATGTATATATGCATTGAAACATCACACTATACCCCATATATGTACAATTACTGTATTTGTTATAAATTTGAAAAAAAGAGAAAAGTTTACAAGTAAATAGTTAAGAAATTCATCTGATGGATTTTCTCCCCATGCCCAAATCACTGAATAGTAAGTCTAATGAAGGTACTGTGCCTAAATGTAAAGGATAATATGTAAATTACTTTAAAAATCAGTCTCAGCTTTTACGTCATGAATATTTCTGTCATAGACCCGAAAAATTGTCAGCTACATCAGCAGTCTCAGATTCAAGCTTTTGCATCATGAATATTTCTGTCATAGACCCTGGCAAATATGTGTTCTGTGTTAGTCTTATAATTGTCCTTAGAATCATGGAGGCCTAATCATTCCTTCAAAAAATTTTATGGCTCATATTTCATGTGTTAGTTATGGTAATGGGTTCGAAGACTACAGAAGCCAACACACAACGCAATATAAGAACAAACTTTTTTCCTTCATTCATCCATTATTCAACATGTGTCTTCATTTTGGGTATTGACAAGGAATCAAGTGCTGTGCTAAATGTATATATTAATAAGTGCATATTAATATAACTGCTAATGAGAAGACTAGCCACTGCTTATGATGTTACTATTGTCTTTCTCTTTTCTTGCCATAAAATGGGATGTCCCTTTGCCCCAGGTTTTGCTCTCAAATTGCAAATGAAAAGAAAATTCTCAGTGGATGCTGACCTGCATAGATAAATGAGAACAGAGCTCCTCTTTCACACGTCCCATTCACCTCCCTTCCAGCTCTCCATATGCACTCACTTTGACTGTGCCAAGACCAAGACTGGAAGTGCCCCATAGGAACCAAACCAACTTCCTCACATCATTCATTAGGACTATTCCTCTTGACCTTCATAGAGGGTCATAGAGAGAACCTATGAAAATAATTTTTCTTAAAAGAAAATACTGAAAGAGTTAATCTGCTGCTTCACAGGTCTAACCTCCTGGGATTAAACCACAAGCATGGAGATCACTAAGTGTACTTAGTAATAACAAGCTAAAAATAGAAAAAAGCATGGTGCTGTTATTGTATGAGTTTCCCTCCAAGGTTTTGTCTGATAAACATCACTACCTCCAAGGGGACTGTAAACAGGTTTTTTGTAGGGTAGGTTAGATACCTGTTTTTTTCAGACAGTCATGCTGTAACCAGTTCTCAGCACACTTATTTTAAGATAATTAAATATTTAAGATTTAGTGTACCTACCTGATTGGAAACCTTCTTGTCTTTAATTCATTGACTATACTTGATCTCTTTTTTCTTGGAGATGACCTACAGATTTCTATCAGAAATCGCTTCTGTGGGGAAACCAGCGCTTCTCAGAAAGTCAGGAAACTGAAATGGAAAGAGTAGGAGAAAGGGAAATTAGCTGTACATATAAGTTTCACTTTTTAAAATTTTTAAAGAAATGTTCAAGCATCTATCTTTTGAACAGTATCATAACTGCAGGAAATTTCGTGATTTACAAGTATGAATTCTCAAAAGACAAACACATGATGTGAGTATAGGTTGCATTTTGGGATTTCAAGTCAAGCAGTCTTCAAAAAAGGCCTGGTTAGCCTTCGTTGAGAGAGAGAGAGAGAGAGAGAGAGAGAGAGTAGCTTTTTTGTGATGGGGTGGTGGGGAAAGAATAAATCTGTTGACTACTAGTCAGTGATTGAGAGGCCAATAAAGGCAAGTTTTCTGTCTTTTTCTTTAATTTCACTTCCATTCTTCATCTAGATTTCTCTTCTGTCTTCACTTAAGATCTTCAGAAAATTAATTTGACTAAATTATTAATAAAATAAACACCGGAATTTATTGAAGGATATTTTACAGAGACTTTTAATGTCTTTTCAAGCATTGTCACACACAAAAGGATTAGAGTATGTGTGTATAGCTTTTCTTGTGATGAGATGGTGGGAGAAAATAAACCTGTTGACTAGTACTCAGTGATTTAGAAAGATGGACAGATTTAGAAAGATGGATATTAGAGTAAAGTGAAGCAAATTATGCAATAAAATTCCAACACTGTGATTCCGAAACAAATCATAGCAGACTTCCGGGTGACTAAGGGGTAGCCTTCTCATATTATAGTCACACCTGGTATAGACCATCTGTCCACAATTTGTATACCATCATTAATCATTCATGGAAAACAAATGACCTGATCTCTCTTTCCATCCACTTCTTGACTATTCTCAAATACATTTTTTCTATGTTTAACATCATACCTTTTTCCATCTATTTGAAAACAGGGATATAGGAGGAGTGACACACAATAAGCCAGACCTCCACAACTGTACAGTGATGGCCCTAAAGAAACATTGGCCTATTAGGAAACTAGAAGTGGTTTGGGATTGTCTTTGACTGATTTCCCTCAGAAGCAGAGCCTGAGAGAAGAATTTGAATTCAAACTATTCTTGGGCGGTGATCAAGGAAACTCGGGAGCAGAATGGGTACTGAGAATAGAGGCATGGAAGAAAGCCAAGGGTGGTACAGCACTGAACAGGTTACTCTTGAGGAAAACTGTTACAAGTTCCTCAGAGAAGTCCTGTGAAGCACTGCAGAACATTCCCTAGAGTTATCCCTACCAGTGGGTGAGAAAGCTGAAGTGTTTATATTCCAAATCCCCTCTGTCATGGATTGAAAGTTTCAACCAGATACATTATCTCCTGCACACTTCTGGCCTTCCCTATGGAGATATTTGCAGATGATGGCACAATTCTATGAATAAGCACTGGAATGCCAAGTACTAGGGAGATATAGGTGGGCCTCTGACCACATCGCATACAGTGGCAGGGGGGTATCAAAGGTTATCTTGTAAATCCAAATCGATAAACTTTGGTTGACAGTTTTCTTTTAAGGTAATTAAGTACTAATGCACTGATAACAATTTCCTCTATGAAATCAAATCAAAGATCCTAAGTTAATCTCCTGGAAACCTGTTAGTATCTTTGATACAGTCCTAGTTAAAAAAAAAAAAAAAAAAGGAATAATTAAGATTTCAAGTTGACTATTCACTCACACATTTAATGCTCACTGAACACCTAATGTATGCTAAGGATTAAGCCAGACATCAGTTTAACTGTTATTAAAATCATTATCTTACCATCAAGAATTTACTTTTTTGGGGCATCCACATAGCACAAATTATTACATAGTGCTATGGAAGAGAGAGGAGGGTCTTAATTCATTCTGTGAACCAATAATAAGTGAGGAATATTAGCAGGTCTTTCTACAGAAGCCAATACTGGAGATTGATATGTAATGTTTAGGAGAGGTAAATTTTTGAGTCAAAGAGAAGACAAATTCACAGTAGAAACAAAAAGAATGGTTAAGGAGCAGAAAAGAAAGAAATGCCATATACAACTGGTATAGTGTTTAGATGGGTGTAAAAAAAGAAGACAACAGAGACCGCGGTAGCAGCCAGATAAAGAATGGTTTGTGTATGCATGATAAAAATGTGGAATTTACTTCTAAGGAAGATGGAAGACACTCAGTGATTTTAACAGAAAAGTTCAAGTTAGAAAGAGAAGAAGATAGAAAGGTTTATTTGCATAACATGATCAGATGTTGTTTGTTTTAGAAAAGTCCCTTTGTAAATATTGGGACTTGATTGTTGGAGAAGGGTAGTTGCAATCCTAGACACAAAAAGATTAGTTAATAGTCCATTAATATAAGCCAAAGAAGAAACTGGATATGAGGTTCATGTTTGGCAGTTCCTTGCTTTCAGTACTTGAGGAATGTTATGCCAATACTTCTGACATCCATAGTTTCAGATCTGAAATCTGCTGTCATTTGAATTGGTGTTTTTCTATAAGTAATGCATTGCTTCTCTCTGTCTGCTTTACAGACTTTTTTCCTTTCTCTTTATTTTTCAGAAGTTCAATTATGATGTACCTTGACATGGATATCTTTGTGTTTACCCTAATTGAGGTTTGCTTAGGTTATTGAATCTGTATGATTAGGTCTTTTACCAGTTTGGGGAACTGTTCTGTCATTTCTTCAAATAATTTTTCCATCTCACTGGCTCTCTGTTTTCATTCTGGGATTTTGATGACATGGATGTCAGCTTTTTATTTTTTGTTTCAAAGGTTCCTGAGATCCTGCCCACTTCTCCACTATGCCTATTTTTCCCTTTGTTTTTCAGATTTGATAAATTCTGTTGATCTGTTCTTGAGATCACTGAGCCTATGCTTTGTCATCTCCACTCTACTCTGGATCCTGCCCAACAAAGGTGTTTATTTTGGTTATTATATTTTTCAGCTCTGTAATTTTCACTTGATTTTGTTTTATAACATTTATTTTGTTGCTTACACTTTCTATTTTTCTTTTATTTCAAAAAATACATAATTACTTTTTGAAACATTTATGTGATATATTTAAAATCCTTGTCAGATAATTTCAACAACTGAGTTATCTCAGTGTTGGTGTGTGCTGACTAATTTTTTTTTCATTTATTTTGTGATTTCCTGGTTCTCGGTATGATGAGTAGTTTTCAATCGAATTGTGAATATTATAAGTGTTATATGACTCTGGATCTTATTTTATCTTATTATTATTTTTAGCAGGAAGTTCCCCTATATTGGGGTGTAGCATGAGGGCTTTAAGGGTGGGAATGTACAGGTTCCTCTGGGCCTGGCTGGCACCACACTGGCATCAGAGGGATGCTGACTCACATGGCCCTACTGCAGACAAATGAGGTAGAAGTTTAGCTCCTTCTTTGGCCTTGCTGACACCTTCCCAAGGAGAGTAGGACCATTCATATCATGTTGTTGCCTTCAAATGGGAATGGAGGCTCAGTACTCTAACAGGCCCCCTGAACTGGTGAGAGGAAAACGAAGTGTCTACTCTCTTTCTTCACACTACCTTATTCTATCCTATTGGTGTTAGGTGTGTGCAGATGCTCAATTCCTCACTGGTGTCCCTGCCCCCAGGTTTTGAAGGAAAGTGTAATGCCTCCTGCCCCCAGTCAGCAATATCCTGTTGCTGATGTCAATAGAGGTGGAGGCTAAGCTCCCCACTGGACCTCATGGCTGTGTACAGGGAGTCCATTTGTAATTAGCTCTGTCTGGCATGATCTCTTTAAGTCTCCTTCTTGATGGGTAGGTTGGAGGCTCAGCTCTCCATTGAACCACACTGCAACAACTCTGGTGCAGGAACCAGAGTGCTACCTGCTTGTGAAGGGCAGGAGTTGGGTGGTATGCATGAGCCACTTCTTACCTGGTCCCTCTGAAACAAAAGTCATGGGTCATCAGTGTAACTTTGACCTGTGGTTTCATTAGTGTTTGGCTGGAGAGGGATGTATACTGTCAGAAAGGTTTTCTTTTGTTAGAAATCTCTTTTCTTATACTTTGACTAAGAAGCACCGAGTTTTCTTGAAGCTTTTTTTTTGTCTGTGTCTATTGGTGGTTATGGACTGGAGGTTCCTGTCGTGCCCTGTCTGAGCTATGCGGGAGGCAATAAGAAAGCATAGGGAACTTATTGCCATGTCATTTCTTAAGTCCCAAGATAAGTCTGCCTTCCAGTTTTCACTGTTCATGCTTATGTATTGTATTCAATTCAGGGTTTTGGTGGTAAGAGACCTGGGAGAAATGCAGCTACTCCATCTTATCAGAACCAGAATTATGGAGGTCTATTGATGTTAAAAAGTACTGTTGGCTATAAATTGAAGTTTGACAATATACACCATGCCCTTTAGGAATTATTCAGCTAGATAAATGGCTTCCCAAGGGTTAGCAAAGTTATTACAATTTGATTTTCATACTTACAGAAGTCAAGTGTTCTACTGAAGGTGAAATTTATAGATAAGGAAGGCTAGACCATTCATGAGACCATTCATCTACTAAGATGAGAGCTGGAGACACTAATATAAAACTCATGCTTAGCTTAATGTACATATGCATAGCAACATACAGAAAAAGTTATAGATATGTGTATACACATTGCTAGTATACATACACATATATCTTCACTCAGTCAGCTAAGACAACCTAGAAAAAGAGACACCGCAGTAGCCATGACCACACACAGCTCCCAGATCTCGGTGCTAATACCACTCCCTAATAAAGTAAACTAGAGCTTCCTGGAGAAAGGACAAATTCCAGAACCAGGGAAAGAAATATAAAAGATGCAACTAGACAATCCTGTAGTGTCAGAAAATAAGGAAGTGATTTTTAAAAACCCACATTGATTGTGTCATGTCAAAGAAGCCCGGGAACCAGAAGCCAGGGAACCACTGAAGGAGTTTTGAGACATTGATCAGCACCTGCGAGGGTCTGTCCTGCCATAATGGTTAGGATGGAAGAATTTGAGCAACAAAATAAAGTGGTATATAACCCCAAGTATAAAATAATTTTCCACACATTCTTACTGGTATAAACAAGTGATTAAATAAATAAATGGCTGGGGGAACCTTTTCACAAGATGGCGCCAAAAGTGAAGAAGGAAGCTCCTGCCCCTCCTAAAGCCAAAGCCAAAGTGAAGGCTTTTTTTTTAATGGAAAGCTTCACGAATTTGCGTGTCATCCTTGTGCAGGGGCCATGCTCTGTATCGTTCTAGTTTTAGCATATGTGCTGCTGAAGCGAGCACAAAGCGAAGGCTTTAAAGACCAAGAAGGCAGTGTTGAAAGGTGTCCACAGCCACAAAAAAAGAGAAGATCTGCATGTCACCCTCCTTCCAGAGGCCCAAGACACTGTGACTCCAGAGGCAGCCCAAATATCCTTGGAAAAGCGCCTCCAGGAGAAACAAATCTGACCACTATGCTGTCATCAAGTTTCCGCTGACCACTGAGTCCACCCTGAAGAAGACAGAAGACAACAACACACTTGTGTTCATTGTGGATGTTAAGGCCAACAAGCACCAGATCAAACAGGCTGCAAAGAAGCTCTGTGACATTGATGTGGCCAAGGTCAACACCCTGATTCAGCCTGATGGAGAGAAGAAGGCGTGTGTTCGACTGGCTCCTGATTACAATGCTTTGGATGTTGCCAACAAAATTGGGATCATCTAAACTGAGTCCAGCTGGCTAATTCTAAATATATGTATATCTTTTCACCACACACACACAAAAAGTAAAATAAATAAATAAATGGCTGAGGGATAGACAAGTCTCCAGTGTAAAAAAACTTCCAAATAGCTTATGTAATTATTCTACTCTAAGGATGGGGAGTGTAACTCCCTGCTTCTTATTGTTGGCTGAGCGTTGTGACTTCCTTCTAGAGTATAATACAGAAGGAGAAAAAAAGAGAAACATTACAGTGAAGAAACCTGACAAGCACTACGTCAGCCAGGTCAAGATTGACATCAGTAGTCATAAGTCCTTTGACAAAATTGCCCTTTACCTCTGTAGTCTTCTTCCTTAAAACGCACACCCCCAATCTTGAGAAAAGCATCAGGCACATTTTAGCAGTGGGGCATCGTACAAGTACCTGACCAGTATTATCCAAAATTGTCAAGTTCTTCAAAAATAAATAAAGCATGAGAAATTGTCACAACTAAGAGGATCCTAAGAAAACATGACAACTAAATGTAACTCAGTATCCTGATGGAATCCTGGGACACAAACATGACACAATAAGGTAAAAGTCCAGGAACCATGACAAAAATATGAACTTCAGTTAGTGACGATATATCAATATTTGTTCATTAATTGAAACAAATATAACATAAGTTGTTAATAATAGAGAAAATGGGTATAGTATGTAGGGGAAATCTCTATACTGTACTTTCAAAATTTCTGAATAATTAAAACTGTTAAAATATAAAGTCTATTTAAAAAGTCAAGTGTTTTCTTGTTTTATGATTATGTTTCTGCATTCCCCAATAAATATTTGAGTTTGCTTTACCTCACTGATATTGATGTTGAAGAAACAAACTAACTCTAAAATGGTTGGTAATTCCAATTTAATAAGTAGTAATTCTTGGTAATATGTTTTTGGAAGAACTCACTGAATAAATCAAAGCAAACTGTCTTTAAATGCTAAATTTTTTTCAGTGTTTAATTCTCTTTAAGATTAATGTTTGCCATGGGCATTATTCCACTTCAGAGGGCAGCAATTATCATAAACATTGGTTGTAGGCAATGTCTAACATACAGTGAAATATTAATGCAAGATGCTGTAATAACTTTAGCTAAAGTATTTTATGTTTTCAAAATGTATTGTTATTTCAGTCTATGCAGCCTTTTCAAAATACATTTTCTAACCACCTTATCCAAACCAGAAAACTCACAAGGAAATAATACTATAGGATAGCATGCTCATCAGTTTGAAATGGAGGCTCACTTTGCTGGCATGCCTGGTTGCTAATGATACTGGCATACGTATTACTTTTATAAATCCCTTCCTTGGCAAAATCTGGTCTCCACGGGGGATATCTTTGACACAGCAGGTACCTAGAAGCTATATAACATATGGCTTTGTAGCTATATTTATGAAACATTTTACACAGAAGTACAATATAATGTAGAAAATTGTTCTCTTTGCCTTCTGCTACTCAGAAATCACTCACCATCTTACTTTTTATTAGCCAACTAAGACATGTTTCATAAATTAGACTATTTTTTTTAGCTCAACATTCTATCTTAATATGACTAATTCCATATGATTTTTGTTGGTGCCAAATATGTAAATCAACAGGAAATTTTGTGCTTAACTCTTAAAAATAATTAATATAACTTACTCAATACATATTTACACTTTTCCTTTGTGTTTTTCAAAACAGAGCACCTCTTCTAAGTTGGGCTTTGAGCACATAAGTGAGTTGATCATTTTTTCCCACAGTTTTCTCATCTCTTCTACCCTATCAATTTGTTCTACTTTCTCAAAAATAATTTAATAATTAACAAATTAAATCGTTATTGAACACCAATGTAAGGCAAACGCAAAAGGCAGAAAACTAATCTGTTGTTGTTGTTTTTTTGTGTGGTTTTTTTTTTTTTGAGTAATGAGCTCAATTCAAATCTCTGCAGATAACAGGTGTTACTCTATGTAGTGGAAATTGTATTTCCTTATGGGAACTCACACAGTCAGGAAATGAAGACCTAAATAATAACCAAAAAGTGGTAACAGCACTAACTATGTAATGAGTGCCTGCTTTGTACCTGGCTATGTAAAAGAAACTATAAACATTATACTGGCAATCCTCAAAAAAAAAAAAAAAAAAAAACCTAATCACTTTAGGGTGTGTGAGTATGTATAAGAGAAAGAGGGAGAGAGAAACTTTAATAAAAGACTTCTGAGAAATAGCAAGAGCACTGCCAGGTATCCATTAATCAATAATTTAGGAGCTTCTAACTATGCAAATAATAGTTCTCATATGGGTGAATATTGAGGATCTTTCAGGTTTAGACTAAGAAATCAAAAGGCTTCCAGAAGTTGAGTCCAAATTTTACACTTACATAAAATCCTTATAATAGAAGACCAAATTATAATTCAATAACTGAAGAGTTCTCAAAATAGTGGATATGTTCTTACCAGCATGGCTTCATTATGTGGATAAGAGACAAGAAATTGGCAAATGTACCTGAAGATTCATTGCAGTTGCTGTGAAGGGCAAGATAAGTGAATAAAAATGAAAATAATGAAAAATAATGACTAGAATTTTAGGCAGTTTGCTTAATCTCTATTTCAGGAAAAATACAGAAAAAAAGAAAGAAAAAGAAAAAAAATCTTGAAAATTTTCTAAAAACACTTTTAAGTGCATATTTCTTCTTTTTCTACCAAATAATGTGGAAGTATGAACCGTTACAGAAGTCTAATCTTCTCTGATAAAATAATTATTTTTTTGTAAATGTTAGATATAATAATCAGAAAGTCTTTAAAAAGGGGCCAAAAAAACTCCTTTAACACTCCTCTTAAAGAGCAAAATTATAAAAAAAAAATACTAAAAAATTTTGAAATAAAAGTAAAAATTCCCATTACTGTTGCAGAGCTTTTAAACTTTTATTTTTGTTTAATTTTGAATAAATATTTATGTTTACATAGTTGTCACAAGGCAGACAAATTTGAAATCAGCTCTCTTCATTAAGCATTATTCTATTTTGCTGCATAGTCTCATAATTGTAATTTTAATGACTGTGTAATTTTCTACTAATTGGATATAATTTGCTTTAGTAAATCATTTTGTCAGTGTTGAAATTAAAGGTGTTTCCATTTTTTTGTTACTACACATGACAGGACAACGAACACCTTTATATAATGATTTTCTAAATATAAATGATTTGAGTGAATTTCCAGAATTAAAATTGATGGATAAAAAGCTATGATCACTTTTATCTTACTAGACATTGCCAAATTACTTTTCAAGTTACGGAACCAAATTAGATGAAGAACTTTACCAAAATAAGACACTATAAAATGTGCTTACTGATTTTGATAAATTAATAAACTGGACCCTCTTGTTCCCTTTCTTCAAATGTTTTGTCAACTATTGAAGTTGAACATCAGATATATGTTCAAAATACGAATTGTATTTCCTCTTAATTATCTTCTCTCACTCTTTTCTGCCTCTTCATAACTTATTCCTAGGTAGCTGGAGAAAAATCACGTGACAGGGCACAATTGTATTCCAATAAATTTATGAACATCAACCTCACATGGGCTTTCAAGACAGGGAATATTGCTCTGACTAACCAGCAAGTTCTTTCTCATTCTACTTAAGGGCTATTCTTCTTCTTCTTCTTTTTTTTTTTTTAAATAAGCCTTCCCCACTCTCGTCAAAATTCCCTCTTTCTTCTTTACTTCCCTCTCTCAGCTGATGGATTGCTTTATATCTCATTAAGAAAATAGAAGCCAGTAAATGGACCACTGTCAAATCCATTTATCCATTAGTATCTTCACTGATCTTCGTATTACTGTTTGTAAGAGTTAATGTGAAAGGCCATTTGCACTGTATGTAGTGGTCATTCCATTTTCCCTTATCTGATCAAGAACTTCACAGCACTGTGTCTTCCACAGCTGACCTACTCTTTATAGATTATTCCCATAAAAATTTAAACATATTCTAGACTACCAGCTCCTATTTAAAATATTAAAAACTGTACATGCAACATGAAACCTTTCTTGGTAATCAAATATCTTCTTTTACTCATTCACATCTGTCCTTCTCATAATTGTTATCTTTATATATTTTTCCACTCCTCATGTCCTATTTACTCAATAGTTTACTTTCATCTGGCTTTCCTCACCCCAATACCTTTGTCCACTGCTCTGAAATTTCACTTACAAAGGACATCAGTGATTTCCATGTCACTACAGCCAATGGAGAGTTTTAGTCTTCCTACTTCTAGACTCATATTTCTAGACCTTTCCTTAAAAAAGAAAGTAAAACAAAAGACAAAAATATTTTTATACTTTTATACCCCTGTAATCTTCTATCTTGGTATATTTTACTGCCTCCCCTTAATCTGATTTCCGAATATGTTATGAGTTCCATTTACATTCAACAAAATATCAAACTGTATGAAAGATTATTCTCCACATTTAATTTTCATAATAATAATACTAGTAGTCAAAACTTCTATAATGTCTGTCTGCCATATGCAAGAAATTTAATTCTCATAGTAATAATACTAGTAGTCCAAACTTCTATAATGTTTACTATATGCAAGAAGCTCTTCTAAGAGCTTTATTCATGTGACTATTCCTATAAATCTATATATCTTGTATGGTTTCCACACTACAAATGAGAAAACTGAGCATTGAGAGGTTAATTATAATTTATCCAAGGTCAGATGAACACTAATTGATGTTGCCTCTGGCTGAAATTTTAAAGTAGGGAAGTTAAATAATGTCTCACAGATTGCCCTTAAAGTGAGCAGAATTTAATTACTTGGATAAAACCAGAAAATAATGAAATATTTTGTGTTGCATGTGAACTACTAAGTGATATGTTAGTAACTATGTATGTTTTATTTTAATTGAATGAATGTTGTTTTCCTTGTTACATTGTTCTTTCAAAAGGGGAATATTCTTGTTATAATTTCTCTCACTTTTTTACATTTCTTCACATATTCATTCATTAATTCAACACTCATTTCCGGAGCATCTACCACATACCAGTCTCTGTTGAAAGCCTTGGAAGATTTGGTGGTGAACAGGCACAAAGTCCTTGCTCTTAAGCAAATGTGTGTGTGTCAAGGCAGGGGGCAGGAAGGGGCTAGGGTTCATAAGTAAACAAATTGACAATTGAAACTTGTTAATGGAATAGACAGACACAGAGGAGCTGGTCTCTCTGGCCAAGGTAGTAGAAGTGGCATCTGAAATGATGGGAGAAAAACTGATCTAAGCAGAAGGATCAGTAAATGCAAAGCCATGTGATAGTTACAAGCTTCCTGCATCTGAGGGCTTGTAAAAGGCAATCATGCCTGGAACCTGAGACGTTCTAGAAGAGATGTTGAAGCGGGACAGAGCACTTGAGGCCTATAAGTCTTATTAAGTGGTTTATGTTTTAGTCTCTTTGCACCACATGACCTTTAGAAGTTTCAGGCAGGACAGTGATGTTATATGCTTTGTACTTTTAAAGAGATTACTTTGACTGTTGAGTTTCCTGTAAAAATAAAATAGCTGTGCCTCTATGAAGTGTGGGCTTAATGATAACCAATTTTTTAAGAGCCCAAGAATCTCGAAAATGACTAGTTCACTAATTATCACCATTAGTCCCAACTAGATTTTATTAATATAAGCTTAGTGACCCTGGGATCCTGAGACATATGTCATTTAAAAACTCAACTGTTTTCAAACTAGCATGACTTTAACAATTTCCAATCTTTCCTGGGGTTTGGAAATATTATTTTATTAACTGGAGGCTGGATGAGAGGTTTTGAGTAGAAAAGGGGCAGATAGTTGGCTTCTGTCTATTCTTCCTTTCAGTGGGAGAAGTGATGGTTCAGGGCTGGCAACTACTCTGTTGTTGGTGCATTACCTAAGTTTTAGAACTAATTCAATCCGGTAAATATTTGCTGAAGAACTACTAGATGCTAGAAGGGAGCTAGGAATGGGGATACAAAGAAGATAATTAATAATAGAGCAGCTATTACTGACAAGAGGCAGGTACTGTGCAATGCTTAAAATGCATTATACCATGTTACATGAATTCACACATTAACCCTATGAGGTAGGTACATTTACTATTCTTTTTTCTGGAAAAAACAGATACTTTTCAAAAGTTTAAGTGATCTATCTAGGGTGACATAATTAGCCAGAGATGGAAGCAGTATTTGGACTCAGAAAGTTTGACATCACTGCCAACCACTGTGCTCTACTAACTACAATGGCTCTACTTGAGGAGTTCAAGATTATACATCCATGGGTATACCTGACACTAAGACTGCCTGGCACAGACTTTGTGGGAAGGGCTAGATTTATGTGAGATGTGCTTGAGGTGGAGAAGATTGTGACAAAGGGTCACTAAAATATGCTCCCTGTTTAAACAAAAAAACAAAACAAAACAAAAAAACACTTGGCCTAGCCTAGGGCAGTGGGGAAGGTTAATTACATAATGTTGAGGAGGAAGAAGCAGCATTCTTTTTCTCTCTTGTCCTATAATAGATTACATTGTATCTACTTCACAG